AGGAAGAAGATTAAAGAGGAAAAAAGTTGGGAAAAGTGTGAACAATTAAGGTAATGACCTTATATTAACTTTTCCTTTATTTTTCTTCTACCATGTGAAGTATATATCATATGAAGAACCTTTAGTATGGTTCCATATGTTATAAGTATGGATTCATGGGTTGGAAGGTGGTTCTACGTCTAAAAACGGACTTAGAAGCCAAAACGATCGGTTCACCGGAAAATAACCTTTTAGAGGTTATTTGTATTAATATGAGTTTTATGATTATAAAACCTTGTTAGGCACTTGTAAGAGGTATTTCAAGTGATTTCACAAAGTTGGAAAAGTCGCCGGAGTTGACCAAAATTCGCCGGAGTTTCACCGGAGTTCAACCAAGAAGGGTAGAACTTCATAACGCTAGTTTCAAGGTGAGTGGACGGCTTAATATCTTATAACTTTTGGGTTAATTATGAGATTACCTAAAAGAATGTTATATGTGTTCATAATGATGTTTAAAAGATATTTAAACATGTGATTAGTCAATAGGGTTAAGTTGCATGAAAGGAATTAATTGTTATACATGGAATATGATATGAGAAATTATATAAAATGTATATTTGCTTGAGGTGTAAAAGAAGCACAAATGAATATTATTAACTTAATTATATGATAATTAAGTTAATAAGTGTAAGACTTGAAATGGCGGTCAACGACAACATTGACCGATAGATATGGATTAATTAATATTGGTTGATATTAGATAATTATACATTTATATAATTGCATGGCTTTGCATGGATTGTGATACATAAGCTTTATGTATTGAATTAGTTATGAATGACTAAGTATGATATAGACTCTATCTAGGTTGATAGGAGGTTGATCATAGGAAAATATTTTGGTGGAGGACCCCAGTACTTAAAAGTACTTAACACTCAAACTTGGTGGAGGACCCTAGGACTTAAAAGTCCTTAACACTCAAACTTGGTGGAGGACCCTAGTACTTAAAAGTATTTAACACTCAAAACTTGGTGGAGGACCCTAGGACTTAAAAGTCCTTAACACTCAAAATTTGGTGGAGGACCCTAGTACTTAAAAGTACTTAACACTCGAACTTGGTGGAGGACCCTAGTACTTAAAAGTACTTAACACTGAAACTTGGTGGAGGACCCTAGGACTTAAAAGTCCTTAACACTCAAACTTGGTGGAGGACCCTAGTACTTAAAAGTACTTAACACTCAAAACTTGGTGGAGGACCCTAGGACTTAAAAGTCCTTAACACTCAAAATTTGATGGAGGACCCTAGTACTTAAAAGTACTTAACACTCAAACTTGGTGGAGGACCCTAGGACTTAAAAGTCCTTAACACTCAAACTTGGTGGAGGACCCTAGTACTTAAAAGTACTTAACACTCAAAACTTGGTGGAGGACCCTAGGACTTATGAGTCCTTAACACTCACAAACCGGTGGAGTACCCAAGGATTATATTTTTGGAGTTGATCGGTTGGACCCGCAGATTTGGCAGGTTCTATTTTTGTAATATATTCTCTAAGAATCTCAGTCAATCATCTGCAATTACTCCACAGCGTATCAGGCTCATTAAATGAGAATTAAATGCTTTCCTTTCATAAGTAGCCTTCTAGCCGTTAGGGAATTTCCCGTTAGTTTCACGGCCGTTGAAAGCAGCTTCGAAATCTTCTAAGTGTTTATCCAGGTCTGGTGAGACTCTCTGATAGCACTTCTGAAGTCAGGTTCTGGTAGCAACTCTGGTAGCTATGCTGATGACTTCTCTGTTAGCAAATCTGATAGCAACTCTGATCAGAAGCACCAAGAGGGTCTCTGGTCTGTCGACTATGCTAATACTTACAAAGAGAAATTCTAATACAAAATTTCTACAAGGGGTAACCTAAAATAATAACCTAACATCATCAAAATCTAAGTACATTTATTCCTTACAATCTCTGTTCTTCATGATCTCCCCATTCGAGAATATCGAACAAATTTCACTGCACAATCAGCATGGTAATACGGCCGTACGGCCGAACAACATATACAAGTATATACATACACATATGTATTTTTTCCTTTTATTTATTTATTTTTTCATGACTATCGGCCGGAGTGGTAACAGCAACCCTCAACCTAGATTTATTTTTCAAACTACCAGAGTCCACGATCAGAACCTGATAGTGGTTTGCCGAGCGTTCTCAGAAAAGTGTTAACTAATCAAAGTAAGTGCTTCGCCTCGTATTGGGTGTAATTGCCGTTCGGGCAGTTAATCCTGAGCAGGACCATGAACGGTCCTTTAATCAAAACTAGATTCTCTCCCGCGCGATGCGCAGATGAATATTTACCAATTTGTGATTAAGATGTCAATTATTAAAACACAAAAAGAATTGAACACAAAATAAAGCGGTAAGTAATTATATTAAATGTTCGTAGTTAAAGAGAGATTGAGACAACGATGAAGACGGGCCAACGTAATATTTTTTTGGCAAAGGCAAATGTATCCAATAAAAAAGAGATAACATTTCAAAGTACGAAGTGGTAAGTAAAACTGTAGAAGTTGCAACGTAAAGTTATACTACAAATTCTGAAAGACTTTTTTGTAAACAAAATTAGTATGGTTGACTTGTTTGCCATCCTCAATATAGATCAATATGTTCAAGCCTTTGCAATTGGTAACTCTAGACGCTGCAACGTAAAGTTGACCATGAGTGAAGACTGGTCACAAAAATTCATCAAAAAAATCAATTAGGAAACACTTGACACGGGCTTGGCTGTAACGGACTCTGCGTTTGACTGAACTGATGAGATAAGTTCTTTAATAGTAATACCGTAATAATAATTTTGATGATAATAATAATACAAAACATTTTAAATTATTGATGTTATAAACTTAACTACTCCATATTAACTAACTCAATAAAAATTACTTGTATAATTATTATAATAATAACAACTATCACTATGTACACTAGACGATAAACCCGTGCGTTGCACGGGAAATCTAGGAACCCTTTGGTGATCCATATATGTTTACGGTTTATCAAACTTATCAACCATTTTAGTTTTTTCTCATATTTCGTATAATTTTTTCTGAGACAAAGGGATTATAAATTTTTGAGATAACAAAAATAACAAATGTTAGGAAAGTTTCATGAGACAGAGTAAGTGTAAGTTTTATGATTTTTAATTTATGAATGTGACTTTTCTAATTTGTAGTTACTAACTGTCACTGAGAAGTTGTTGTGTTCGTCATATTTTTATGAGAAAAATAATCAAAATACCTAAACTCTGAAGAAGCGTGAGATAAACACTCCAAACTTTCATATGTAATTTAAATACCCCAAACTTTATGTAAAATTTATTTTAGCAATATGGTCCTATATTATTCCTTTCAAAAATGTTATTTATGGTGTTAATTGCATAATTTAAAATAAAAAATTAAAAATATTGCAATTGTTCACTCTAGTGGGGGCATAATTATTTATTTTGCAATGGAAGTTTAGAATTTTAATTGTATTTTTAAGAATGCTAAAATATTTTAAATTGTGAAACTTACACAAAAAATTAACAATTTTGAAAGAAATAATACATGACTGGTGCTAAGAGAACTTTTTACATAAAGGTTGGGGTATTTAAATTATATATGCAAGTTTGGGGGTGCTTAATTCACACTCCTTTTAAAGTTTGAGGTATTTTAATTACTTTACCTTATTCTTATTGCTTATTGTTTATTTTTATTTCATTCAGACCAGATCAAATAAGGGACAATTCAAGTTAGATCAAATCGGAAAAATTAAGTTCACATGAGAAAGGTTTAGATGTATATTTATAGTTCTAACTATAATTATAGTTATAAATTTAATCACAATAATAGTGATGATAATAACAAAAATAACCGCAACAATAATAAACATTTAATTACATTAGCAATATTTAGATCTGAGTGAGATTGATTCAGATCAAATGAAAAAGATTCAAATTAGATAAAAAAAAGTTTCTAATTAGCTAAAAAAACTCAGATCATATGAAATATTAAAAATTCAAATAAAAACATTCCTATCCGGCTAATGGAATAACCCCTAAGAGAGTGTTTGCAAATACTTAAAAAAACGATTCTCGACTTTTGGCTTAAAAGGCTAAAATTAGTGTTTCCAAATGACTTCTACTTAAATAAACGTTTATCGACTTTTGGCTGAAAACTGATCTTTACTTTTACTACTACACAAAAAACGCATATTTTACCAAGCACGGTCAACTTTTACTTTTCAAAAACATTATTTCTCTCAAGTGATACTAACTTTTACTACTAATCACTTTTTCCAAAATAATTTCAAAAAGTGTTTTTTTAAGCAAAAACATTTGAAAACATTTTTAAAATCTTCAAAAAAGGTATTCCACTAATTATTATTATACGGAGTACTAATTATTATTATACGGAGTACTCAATTAGTTTTAGTACTCCGTATTACCCAACTACTACTTTAGCAAATACTAATTAAAATACTAATTAGCTAGTATTATGCATGTTTTCGTAACTGAAAGTGCATTGATGAAGTATTAAGATAGATATTTAATTGAGACAACAATTTTTCACATGTTTTGACTCCAAATAGATCTCACCTGAAATCCCACCATAGGATCTTTATATATATAAAGATGCCAATGGATATGCTAAAATCGGATCATCTCCATTTTTATACTGCCCATTTTACATCCGACCCAGCCCAACACATTAAACTAAACAATCATCCAACCCGGCACGGATAACAGATTTCCCTTGATTCGCTAGAGCTCCCTCAACTGAAAAAATTGGATGCAAATAGGTTGATTATAATGGGCAGGGGAACCACATCTACTTATACTCCGTATATAAATTGTGAAAGGGTGTTAACTTGGGCATTTTCCCGTTGCTACAGTACTGAATGTTAACCTCCGTTTACTGCCTCCTCCGTTTGCTAACGTGCTTTCATATAAGCCTTTCGTTTTCGCTCCTCAATCGATATCTCACATCTGCTCCTCAATCGACATCTCACAACTCACGTCCCCTGTTGCTCTCCGCTTTTTATCGCTCCAGAACTTCACTCCTCAAGCGGACCAGCGTTTTTCAGAAATGAAGCCATCAAGGGTTTTCCGAAGCTACGAAGACCCAATACAAGTGTGACCAGAGAGAGGTTCGAGTCTGCTATGTCCGTTTTTCAGCCGAGCATGTAGCAAGGAGGAGGAGAATTCTTCGATTCGATCTTTTTTGTGCAAGGCCGCCCAACGATCCCCGGTTATCGTATAGCTGCAATCGATTATCAAGCAACTCTTGTAATCCATCCCTCTCTTCTTCACTAATTTGATACAATTTGTATTTAGATGTTGACATCATCTAGGATTTTCACTTTTTCAATTACGCATATTGGCTAGGGCTGGATCCAGAGCATTAGTCCACCCCTAAAAACTTCCAAAAACTTCAACCAGGCGATGGATAGTTTATTTGATATACTACTTAGAGTTTATCTCATTTAGTGTCGGGTCTTATTGACTCTAATTGAACTCAGGCTTATTTATCCTCTTACTTCATAGTTGTTGATAAAAGCTTAGTTGATATGTTGTTTAGTTCATATATTCATAATTGTTGATTGCTTTATGTTGATTTGTTCTCTGCCTTTAGCCCTTGCTGATTTTGAGGTTAGTTGATTTCTTAATTAATTGATTTTTTGAACAGTCTACATTCAAAATTATACCAGATTAGCTTGAATCAGGCATTGAAAACATAATACGCCCATTCTGCTTTGCATATAGCCAAAACGGGCCTGGTTCACCAAACCAATGGCCAGGTCGAGGTCAGCTCTCATTATTTGAAAGATTCAATCTTTAGTTACTGAAATCAATGTTGATGGATGGGTATCGGTTAATTTTGTCAGGTCGTTAATATGCTGTTAAACATATCTGTCAATCGGGATGTGTTGAATCGCTACAAGCAGGTCCCGTGTTTCCCGCTTTCTTCTTCTTCTTCTTCATTTTCCTTGTTTGGTTGGATAATTTGTGCATTTTCTTTATATTTCTCCCTAATGACGACTGATGGTGTTTATTGTTTTGGTTGATTTTGGATGGTTTAGACTCCATTGATGGTGGTTGGAATGCATGGAAAGATCACCTGTGTCCAGAAGCTCATCGAAGGTGGGGCTAATGTAAGCACCCCATTAATTTGTTTGGAAGTAAAAGTAGGAAATTAATGTGTGGCTGATGTTGGAAATTTGATGAATATATGCTAAAATTTGATTCACTTCATGGACGAACGTGTTTACACTATGCTGCTTACTACGGCCATTCGGTTGTCTTGAAGCAATTCTCTCTGCCGCTCACACATCCCATGTTTCTGTTTCTTGGTTGGCAACTAGCTGATGGGTGTTTTTCTTTTTATTCTCTTCTCTTTAGGGACAATGATTGTTTTGGCTGAAATGGTTGACTCAGTTGAATTTCTGGATTGGAAAAATCCTTTGGCTAACAGCTATTTCAGCCAAACGGAGTCTTGGTCTTTATGGATTGATTTGTTATGGAGGACTCTCTAATCTTGATGGTTGAATCACAAAATGTGTGGGAGTTTGCCAGATTTGTAAATGTAAGAGATGGTAAGGGAGCAACACCTTTGCTCTTGGCTTCTTGCCAAAGGCGACCTGGTAATGTTCGTTTGTTGTTGACCAATGGAGCTTTGGTCTGTACATCAACTGGCGGATATGGGTGATCCTTGAAAACTATATTTTTTCAGTTTTTGGTTTATCTCTTTTTCTTTGTAATTTTAGACCGAGATGTTAGAGTGTGTAATAACAGTTTTCCAGGCAGCACTCCTCTGGATTTGGCTGCAAAAGGGGGATCTCTTGATTCCATTCGTGAGTTGATGGCATGGGGTGGCGATAGAATCCAAAGAGATGTCTCTGTGTACTAATTTCATTTTCTTTAATCTTTTTCACTGGGGCTCTATTTTTAACCTGAAAAAGGAATGGGGAAGAGAATAGGGTGATAAATAGATAACACTTCCTAAAGAAAGAAATTCGGGGAATACATAAAAAAGGTTCTTTTCAATATAATTCTCTCAGTTATGAGTTCAACCCTTTAAAATGTTTTAATCGGAATTGATTTTCTTTGCATTTTGCTATGTATAATAAAACATTAAAATGAAAGTAGTTTCTTCGACATTCTTTCCCATCTTCCTCTTTATCGACATTCTTCGAAATCTTGGAGTGTGTACTCCAAGATTTCTTAGCACTAATTATATGATCACTATAGCTTTTTTACCCTAACTTAACACTAATTATATGCTGCAACCTGCAGGTTCCGTAGTCAGGGGCCGGAGATTTTTCTTTGATTCTTTCCTTCGTAGTTGCGACTTTTAACTTTGGTTCTTACCTGCTTACAGGTACCTGCTCATACAAGTGCAATTTTCTAAACCGAGTACCTGCTTCTTGTGTCAATTTTCTCAATATTAGAAACAGAGCACAAGAAAAGGTCTTATTGTTGATCCAATATGTATAGGTGGATTTGTGCATGAACATTGTCTGGGGGCAGGGAGACTTCATTGCCTTTTACATGGATGAGCACAAACAGAACTAGGTATGTAGCTAAGCCTACCTTTTCTTCATCTTATTCTTTATTAACCTATATGCATTATATAGACCATACCCGTCATAGACTTTTGGAAGACCTTATTCAATAACAAACATCAAGCCTATAATATAACAGGAATTTTATTAATATAAAAAAAACAAATACAGGAGGGCATGAAAACAAGGCTTAGTGTCAAACCCCTCCCACAGGGGCATACAAGAAAACATACAAGTTATAAACAAAGCAGAATGGGGGAACCTAGCAATAAAAATTGTAATGATAGTTTATCCTAATTTACCTCTTTCTGTTTCGGCATAAATGTTTCTGATATATGTATTTATCAATGTTAACATTTGGAATGAGGTAACAATAGCTTAAACATAATTGGAAATATTGCTAAATAATGACAAACCTTGGTTTCCTTGGACATAGATTTCAAGAACTAGGGTACAAATATAGCGCTTCTAATGAAAATTTCAAATAATAGCAACCTTCCTTATTGATGTGTGGTGAATTTTTTTTTTTTTTATTATTATTTTGAAAATTCATTATGCCGTTTCTAGATATAAGTTACTCTTTTTGTACTCATTTTCCCCTTGTTTATCTATCATATCTATGATGTATAACTATTAACAGGGGACCTTCCTAAAATTCTATGCCAAGAGAAAAATCATTCCCTTTCCTATTTAATAAGTGGAACTAATAAAATGCATCAATGTAGTATATTTTTTTAAACCAGATAATCCAGAATATCCACATTAATGATAAAGAGTTTCGTACATGTCTTATTACCATATAAGATGTGCTAATTTGTGTTTGCCTCAAACTTTGAATAACAATATTCTAAATATAAAGAGGCATAATACTTTTGTTTGTGTCTAAGCTAAAGCAGCTGATGATGGAGTCCATCTGTCCAAAAGAATTTATTGATTTTTAGCTTCTGTCATTTCAGTTCACTCTGTTCTTAATTCAAACTCATATCAGTTATGTTTATCCCTTTCATTTACAGGATATGCATTTGGTTTATCTTGTGTGTTCTCCGACTTCTTTAGGTCTGTTATAGTTTAGCTTTCATAAGCAGCCTCGAGTAGAGTGTGCTTTATAATAGTTCTATGAATATTGAACATTGTTATTTTTATGAGTTTACTCAAAATGCTTTACTTTGTAATTCATAAATCTACCTATGTGGTTTCGTTTTGCTTAAGACATGGGAGAATAAGTACCCCCTCCGTTCCCTTAACTTTGTCCTGTTTTACCTTTTTCGTCCATCTCATTAAGTCTGTCTCATACCATATATTGTTATATTTGGGTGGTTACAATTCATTCTTACTTTATTCACACTTTATCAATTCAATACCAACCACACAATTTCACTTTTTCTTAAAAGTTGTGTCACACTCCTTTGTCCCAAACATAGTGGGACGGAGGTAGTATGTTTTTAGGGAATTCAGTGGTACAAAATATTTTTACTAATTTTTTTTATTATTATTCTTAATCTATTTGTTTCGTTACAATGATGGTCGGTGGCTATTCTCTTATTAGTTTATTTTTTTGGGGAGTGTATAGTTATATGAACAACTGTTAGTCTTGGCGGTAATAGATTAACTTATTGTTGTATAGTAACTTTTCCTCGTAGAATTATAGATCACATACTTTTTAATTCTTGGTTTTACTATTTCAATTTCACAATGACTTATGGAGACCATTTTATGATGTTAATGCATGAACTGCACTTTTGGAGTAGCCAGATCCAAATCACCACAAGAATCCAAACCATTTTGTAGGTTCCTTCGTATTAATGAAGTGGACAAATTGTGAAATATTAGTACGAAATGGCTTTAAAATGGTGTGTATAAAATTATAAATGAATTAAGCTATAATTTACTAAATGTTATTCAGGAGAGAAAATACTTTCAAATACATTATAAAGATTCCATTATTGCCTATTATTGATTTTTCCCCTTTAGCCTTATGTGCAACTTGATATGTTAGAAAGAAGAAAACAGAAAACTTATTATAGAGGTTGACTTTTTAGTACTTAGTTTTTTGGTATTTCTTTTTCGGTCCCTAATTCTGTTAACTCTAAGGTGAACCTATGTGTACACAATAGGTTGTTGAGCAGCAGAGTTTGAGAAGCTGGTTATTGAGTATAATTTTTCCAAGTTCAGGTGTGTGATGTCTTGATTATTCAAAGCTTGAAAGTTGTTGAGAAAATAATAACAAAATGCAATTTCTTTATTTATTATGAACATTGAAAGCTCTTCTATCTCACTTACAGTCCGCTACTTTGCATGCTAATCTGATATTTTTACATTACATGTTTGCTCTTATGATGAAGCATGTTAGGACGATGGCATTGTTTGACTGATATATACAACATGATTTCTTAGATGTTTCCGTTGATTCATTTGGCTTCCATTGAATTGCTCTACTGTTTCTTTGCGTTGTTTATTGTTGTTGTTTTATCTTTGTTATTGTTGTTTAAAGGGGTTTTGTTTACACTAACATAATGCATACAGAGCAACATAGGAGAAACCATATACCTTTTTTCAGTGTTCCCTTTACCACTTGTATGGTTGGGGGTGTCAGATGGGAGGGAGGGGAGGGTGATGTTTGTATTTTATAAGTTATCTGTAAATATTAGATGGTTGAAAAAATATAGTTTAGAAGAAACGAGTTTATTAGCACATTGTCTGGCATGCTCCCATACATCATATGCTACTATTTCATGTACGATACTATAAAGAAATCCTATTGTCAGGTAAAGAATAAAGAATCTCTAAACCGTGCAGAGATGCTTCTTCTTGGGGCTCTTTCGGCCTTGCCAGCCAACACTTTTAGTTACCTGCTAGAGGCGGTGAGGAAGCGTTAATGGCAGCTGCCTTATAAGGGAAGTGCCCAATGCACATGGCAGCTAGGTTATCAGAAAATCGTCAGAGACAAAGGACTGATGGGTCTTTACAGAGGTCTGGGAGCAAGTTCTTTGAAAGTGATACGTTCTTCAGGGATAACTAGGATGTTCTATGAAGCTTGAAAGGATGTATTGGTAAGGCACTAACTGTACCTACTTTCATATCTTGGAGCGGTACATTGACGATATTGTTCAACTCATTATGATCAATCTTTGTATTGGTGCATTTTTTGTTGCACCTAAATGGTTTTTTATTTATATTTTTCCTTTTCGCTCTTCATGACAAAAAAGAAACCAAAACACCGAGTAGTTTTTTTTAAAAAAAAGCAAATATATATTTGTCTCAAGCGTATGATTTCATATAATATTGGTCAACTGCTTCTCAATCAAAACAACAATCATTTTTTGACTCTATATCACTCGGTCGATCCCTTGTGCTGCTTACTTTTCTTTCTATCTCGTAGCTGCTATATTATGATCAACCTTTTTGGCTTAACAGGCCTGGAGCTAATTGAACAGGTCGAGATTACATTTCATATCTATTTGGGTTAATTTGATATAGGCCTGAACTCGGGCCCGGTTCGGGCCTGGGCCCGGCCGGGCCTCGGGCCAGGAAAGTTGGGCCCGGGCCCGAACCGCCGGTGGGCGGTTCCGGTTCCGGGCCAAACCGGACCGGGCCTAACCGGTTATATTTTTTTTTTTTTGGCTCTTCTATTTAACCCCCAACCCCTGCCCCTCAACCCCAAACCACCTCAAATGGCCCAAAATACCTAATCCAGACTAAAACTTAAAAAAATTCAAAAAAAAAAAATTAAAACCCAGCCCGTCAAAACCTGGGCCCGAGCCCGAACCGCCCAGCAGCCGGGCCGGCCCGGGCCGAACCGGTGGACCCACCGGGCCCCGGGCCGGGCCGCCCGGCCCGAGTCCACCCCTAATTTGATATAAATAAATAGAATAAAGAATAGTGTCTGCTCTTTCAAATGCTTATAATTTTTTCTATAAAATACACAAACTTGTGATTGACGTTTAACTCCAAATGGGATTAGGCATGCAACAAATTAACTATGTTTTAATACTAATTTTTGTGTTAGTTTTAAACATGAGTTTAAGTTCAATCTTCCTTGATGATATTTTAAACTTCACATTTGTCATTTTTTCCCGTTGGGCATCAAACCTCGCGCAACGCGCGTGCTACATAGATAAGTGGCTTAATTTTTTTAAAAGCAAAATACTCCGTACCCGTACAATAGAAATTCAAAAACCCAAGGGGTAAATGGGTGTAGTCTCACACCTTTTCTTCTTTCAAGCTATCCGAATAGCCTTTCTACTGTTACCTGTCAAACACAACTACTTTACTCCGTGCGCAATAAATATTGAGTACAGTTCTCCATCTAGCTAGTCAATCAGTCTTCACATTAAACAGCTTTGATCTATCTTTTTAACAGCATAGCAAAACAATTTTTTGACCGTACGTGACTATGACATTTTTGGACGGGACTTTGGCCATGGGTTTGTATATAGAGAGATACGTCATCGGGCTACGCCCTTGTGAGACGCTTTAGCTAATTTGGGCTATCGGTGATCTTATTAATTCTCGATGAGGATGTTTTCATTTGAGCTTAAATTTGCTGGTCTGGTTTAGTCTATTTAAGTCTGATCTGAACTGTTATGGTTCGGTCTGGTAAAGGTCTGTTGTCTGTGTATTTTATAACTATGAAATTCTGGTCTGTTCTGGTTTGGTCTGTTTAAGTCTGATCTGGTTTGATCTAATTTGTTCAAGTCTGCTCTTGTCAGATCTGGGAGTGAAAATCCTCTCCTTAATAGCACTACAATCACAAAAAGTAATATCCCGCAGCTACAATCGCACCTCGACCGCAGCTATTCATGTAGTTGTGTTTCACGAACCAGGTAACAAGTTTTTTCTTTTCAATTTTCATTTTTTTATGCAATTGTCCACCAGCGATGACCCCTTTGCTTCTTTTTTTTACTATCGCTTAGCCTTCTCCATCTTAAGTTTTTGTATCAGTGAACATGGCCGATAACAAAGTGCATTCAGATTCGCCATAACACCCACTCTCAGATTTTCAATTCAAACTTCTTTTACCGCAATCATCTTGGATGGTAATTGTTTATTACTAGCATCTCCCCTTCATGTTCTCTTGATGATGAAATAGTCTTTAACCTTTTATTGGGATCGCTACATAGGTTTTATTAGAACACCCCAAAGGATTTTTCTTCTTCAAATTACTCACATCAACGAGGTCAGTCTAATTCCACCATACTGAAAATCGACATGCCGAAACTGGCTCAGCTGTTCTATATCCATGAGAATGAAATGATACATTGCACTTATGCATATTTTGACCTGTGCTATTTGAGAAAGAATGCTGGTGGCAAATGTTTCGATTGCAAGGTGTTTGTTATAATTCCTCAATGAAAAATGTCTTGATATGATGCCTAAATTCTAGGATTTTAGAAGCTAATGCATATTTATTAATATGGGATAGCATAAATTAATAAATTGATGCTAATTCATTTGTTAAGGAAACGATATAACAAACATGGTAAATAGTATGGCTCTAATTCTCAATATCAAGTTAATTTTTTAGGAAAAATTGAAAATAATAATCCCAACTATTGCCGGTCCGCTGAAAATAATCCCAACTATTGATTATTGCTGTATAGTCCCAACTATATAGACTATCCGCCAATAATGGTCCATGACCATATATTACCTCTATAAAAAGTGAATTTTAAATAGAAATTAAGCGTAAAAATTAAAAGTTGAGATTATTTATAGGGATTACTTGTTATATCTCATCTCATCCACTTTAGAAACTACAAGAATTTATACATAGGGACCATTATTGGCGGAAGATCCCTAAAGTTGGGATTATTCTGTAATAATCAATAGTTAGGATTATTATGAGCGGACCGCCAATAGTTGGGATTATTACTATCATTTTTTCCAATTTTTTATGAATTGAACAAATATCGAAAATAGATTTGTATAGTTTGAGCTTTTCTTTGGTTTTCTTCACTACTTCTCTTTATATTTTATTCTCCTCACATTAAATGGGATCCACGAATACCTTATCAGAGATTATTGAAATTATTGAGAAAGGAAAAGCTCTCAGAAAGAACTTCCCCTTCAAGGTTCTAAAAAGGGTCTATTTTAAAAATAGGTAGTCTAAAGAATCAGTTTTAAAAATATGCAACTTTCATATGCATTCATGTTCTCAACTATTTTTCCGCCTAACAATGAGTGTGTTTAAAAAAAGCAAGTTTTAACAATTTATAGTTTTTGTTTAAGGAAACGAAATGATGAACCATTTTTTTTTTCTGAATTGAGATTTTGGAGAGGAAGTTATTAAACTGATTTTTATAGGCTAATGAGTTGATGTATTCTAATTTTTTGTTTTAAATTCAAGCCCTAATCAAATCTAATCACATCTCTAAAATAGATTCCTTTAATTCTCCTAACAAAATTTAAAAATAATATCTAAAATCGATTTGTTTAGTTTGAATCTTTCTTTGATCTGACGAAAGAATCATTTAAATCAATTTTTACACATGAAAAAGTAGGTTTGGTCAGGGTTGGCCCCTCTACCTATACTCTTGGTAGTTATGAGTACACATTTTAGGTTCAGTGCAATTTTTTGTTAAGTTTAGTTTTAACGGGTTGGGTGGGGAGTCACTTAATTGTCTTTTGTTAGGCTGAAAAATCAAGATCAACACATTTCAAGTGAATAAAGCAAATCCAAGAACCCTCTATGAGAGTAGTACAATCCAATTAATTGTGTGTTCTTTACACTATCATATTTTCTTCCTCAACATTTGCTCTAGATCAAATAAATATTCCCATTTGCCTATTCCCATTTTCTTCCTCTTTGTGACTTTACTTGCATATTCCAAATTTCAGCTTTGTTACGTTGGATTTGCTGTGACATTTGTGTCTTAATCACTTTTGTAGCAACATTGATACTCTTTTTCATAAAAAAACAGAAAGGTATAGAGCATAGAAGTGTTTTGTGAACATGTTCCAAAGAGTATGCATATTCATGTAAGTACTCCGTTTTTTAAAATGAACACATGTAGTTTGTATCATTAAATGGGAATGAGTCAAGCCATGCACTCAAGTTAAATAGTGTAAAAAAATAAAAAAACTAAAACACTTGACAATGATAAAGTTACATTTAATATTATAAATTGTAGGGAGAGACTGAGACCATTTTGTCTGGGATGGGTGAGACGGGGTTTAACTTGATTCTCCCAAAATGATGGGTAATAGTTTGTGAGCTATAAAAATTTCAGATTGAAAGAAGGCCCGATAACTTGACCGGACCAAGTAAGAGTTGAGTCATTTAATACCTGATTAGTCCGTATTCTCTGAGAAAACATACGTCAATATAAAAAAATTATATTTTTTTTTACCTATTTCAAATAATTTTGTGTTGGAGTTTCCATTGCTTAGAGTACTTGGATCCATAAATTAACCTTAAAATTCGTTAGGAGTAATAATTGGATGTTGTTGTTGTAGAGTATTTGATTCCACTGCAAGGTTTTTATTATTTAGTTGGAAAGATGACATTGAATTCTAAAACTCATACTCTCCTATGTGCCGAAGTAGGAAATTCAAAAAAGTTGTAAAGAATGTAATTCAAAATGTCTTCAACAATTTTAATGTTTACTTATTGAACTTCTAATATTTATTCATCATTATCATCACCATTACGATAGAGCCGCAAAGGCTCTCACCTACGGATGGTCAGGGGGTCAAATGTATGTAGCCTTACCCCTGTACTAAAGTACAAATAGACTATTTCTGGATGAATCATGGTGAAAATCGCGTCGAAAGTTGCATGTCTAATAGGTTATATTCTAGCTACATATACAGATTCATAAATACACGTATATGTTTACATTTACAATATTATGAAATACATCTCGTGCAACGCACGGGTGAGATACTAGTACTCCAAAAGAAAACAATCATAAGACGGAGACTTATGTTTTGTTTGGATAAAGTGGAGTTAAGTAAACCTCGTGCAATAAAGTAAACCTAAGTTTCAATAAAAGTGGTTAACCTAAGTGAACCTAAGTTTACGCGTAAAATAGTGTTTGGAAATAAATAAGGTAAAGCTAGGTTAATGGAATAAATGTTGCTTGGATGAAGGTACTATAACTCATTTTATGGGAGTGTTTTGGTTTGTTTAAAAAAAGCGTTTTTCAACTTTTGGCTTAAAAAAAGCTGAATAGAATGTTTTCAAATGACAGTTTCTGCTTAAATTAAACACTTAAAAGCTAAAAGCTGGAAGCAAGTAGAAGGGTGCTTTAAACTGCTTTTTACTTTTTCTATTACACAAAAAGTACTCCCTCAGTCCCTAATAATTTTGCCAAGTTTGACTGGCACGGGGATTAATAAAGTAAAAGCTGTGTGGTTGAGGTTTGTGCAGAGGAGAGAGAATTAACTGGAACCACAAATTCTTTACTTGAAAAGGAAAGTGGCAAAGTTAGTGGGACATCCAAAAAAGGAAAGTTGGCAAAGTTATAAGAGACGGAGGGAGTACTTATTTTATCAAACACTACAAACTTTTACTTTTTCAGAATCACTTTTTTTTCAAACACTACCAACTTTTACTATTAATCACTTTTTCCAAAATCACTTTAAAAAATCACTTTTTTAAAGTAAGCAATCACAAACACTCCCTATGTTAACTGAGAACTTAACCTCCAAAACCTCCGTTTTGAAGGTTCTTTAATTTCATATGTTTCTAGTTTCTCGGAAGTTAAGTAAGATTAACCCATAACCTAGATTTTTTGTTACAACAACAAAAACAAACAAGGTTAACTAACAATTATACCTGTAATAATCTAAGTCATTAAAGAGTACTCCGTACATCTTTGAAATAAAAGGTATGCGGACCATTTAAGTTGTAGCTGGTTGGATATATTTCTTTAAAAGAAGTACTCCCTCCGTCCCATTTTGGTTGTTCTACTTTCCTTTTTGGGTTGTCCCAAAATGAATGTCTTGTTTCCTTTTTTGGATGAAATATGTGGTTCTTATCAATTCACTTTATTATACTCAAATCTCAACCACAACTTTTACTTTTCAACCACTTTATTAATAATCGTGCCAAATTGAAAGTGGACAACCATTATGGGACGGAGTAGTAAACAACAATGATATATGCTCCTCCTGGCCCACCTTGAGCACAGCATCGGCATCAATAATTGTTGTTAGATATGCTCCTCCTGGCCCACCTTGAGCACAGCATAGGCAGCAATAATTGTTGTTAGATCAGTTCGTATACCGTGGGATCATCCCACGGTGAGCAGCATGCTCCACATCCCAAAACGACATAGTTTTAATCAAATTTAAAAAATGCGTGAACAGTACACGCGTGTACAGTACTTTGTTTTTTATTTTTCTCTTGTTCTAGTAACAGAATGATGTCACTCGCGTGTAAAGAAATGTAACTCACATTAAAAAGAAATGTAACTTCAGTCAAATTGAAGTGTAGGTTGTCTAAAACAGAATATAAAAAGTAAAACATTGATTTCAATGTAAATAATGAAAAAAAGGAGTCAATTGCCCAATTATGTTACATAAATAGTGTATTATCAAGGTTATAAAAATGATTTTTTTTTCTCAAAACGATTTTTCTTTGAATAGCAAGGACTTATTGTATTGTCGCTATTGTGTAACACGTATTATATTCTGGTGTAACTCACGTTATGTAAAATGTAAATCACATGTAAGTGTGATGTAACTTGCTGAGAAAAGTTGACATGTAACTCTCGTGTTACAATATGTAATGTTAGCCAAACTGAAATGTAACTTGGGTTTATGTGAAATGTAACTTGAATCCAATAAAAAAAATAAGCATACAAAAGTAACTTGAGCCCAAATATAATCAAAATAATTGAGTGGAAGAGACCAGAATGCATTTTCCTCAGATTTTTAATTAGTCATAGGTATGACTTATTGTACGAAGTATTTGTATTGAATCTCCGCATGGACTAGATGATTGGGATCAGAGTTTGTTGTTATGCTGGTTTATCTGCGCCCCTCTTGAAGCGGAGAGCAGAAATTGACCAGAGTGGAAGAAAACCTATTGTTTCTAAGCACAACATATGCAGCAGCGAAGCAATTGCAGATGCAGAACGGACGAGGTTGAGCAGTGATGGAAGCACAGAGGCAGAGTAAAGGGACCTATTATTTCATTGCTCCAGGCAGCTACGCAATTACAAAGGCGGTGGGAACGAAGCGCAAAAGAGGTTTTGTAATTTTTTTAATAAAAAACGATATCGTTTTGGGATCGGTACACCGTGAGGACGGTGCGCCGATCCCACCATATAATTTGCGTTGTTAGATATGCTACTCCTGGCCCATCTTGAGCATAGCATCGGCAGCAATAATTGTTGTAGATATGCTCCTCCTGGCCCACCTTGAGCACTCGGCAGCAATAATTGTTGTAAATAATAAAATGGGAAAATCAAACTTTTAGTCAAGAAAATGAAATGTCGAACCCGTATTTTCAATTTGGAAATGTCGTCCCTCAATTGTCCTAAATGCTATAAATGTGGTCTTTTTAGGAGTGAAATATACAATGCTTGCGAGAGTTCATTTCACCCCTTAAAGGACCACATTTACAACAATTTAGACAATTGAAGGGTGACATTTACAATATCATAAATACGGGTCTGACATTTACAATATCATAAATATTGGTACGGCATTTCATTTTCGTGATCATTCCCCCTAGTAAAGTACTCCGTAATTATTACTATTTCCTTCTGGAAATGAGAGTCCCATTTCTTTTTTATTCAAAAATTAAGGAAGGAAGGAAGGGTTGAAAAGGTAAAAGTTGAGATTTGAGTAGAAAAATGTGAAATGATGTGGATCACATCTTTCTTTTCAAAAGAGGAAATGAGACTATCAATTTGGGATGACTCAGAAAAGAAATACAGGACTATCATTTTGGGACGGAGGAAATACTATATTTATTACTTCTATTGTGAGTTTAATGCACTGAACCCTCTCGTAATATAGAAAGTCAACGCATTAGCTCCTGTGATTTGAAAAATGCGTGAACTCTGTTGTGTTTTAATTAATCATGCACAGAACCCTTTTTTTGCATAAATTTAACGATTTGAAAATAACTTTTCCTGATATTTTGATTGAATATACAAGTAAATATGTCAAAATCTCTGAATCATACAAAAATGTTAATCATTTTTCAAAAAGGATTTTGCACATAACTAATTAAAACACAGGAGGATTTGACACATTTTTTAAATCACAGGGGCCAAAACGCTGAATTTTCATATCACATGGGTTTGGTGCATTAAACCCCTTGCAGTTCATCAATATCTTTCTTCTCTTCAGCCAAAAAAAAAAAAGATAGTCCGTATCTTTCTTCTCTACCTCGCTAGTCATCCGTTCTTTTCTGTTCTAGCATGTCTTACAACATTCCTCTTATCTCTTCACTACCAAGTTCTTTGGATTTCAAGATAAGGATCATTGGGGATCCAACAGTCCTGCTCTTCTATGAAGGTGTAACAACTTTCCAATGCAATAGTGACCAATTTGGTCAAGTAACAGTCAAAGCGACCCCGACTTGCTATTCACAAAACTTGAGGGCTTCGTTTCTGTTTATTAAGAACTCATTGTGTGGATTACCAAATATCCTCAAGCCACTTCTTATCCATAAAGAGCAATGGATAAGCTATTTCGTGTATGAGGGTTATGAAGAACTTTTCTCCGAGCACCACATGACCAAATTTTTCATAAAGTAAGTATTGTGATATTTTGTGCTATTAATTAGACCTATAATTTTATAAAATGTTACGAGTTGAGCTGTGGTTTATAGGAGTATTGTGATATTTTATAAAATGTTAAGTAAAATCGGGAATGGTTATAGGAGTTTATTGATCGCATATAACTTTTTTTTTTTACTATTTTTTAGGGATCTGATAGAGGTTGTGGTATCTGTTCAAAGCATTGTTGGTAGCCATGGAGGGTTACATAAAAGACAAAATATGTCATTTGCACCGGACATTGGAAACTTGATGGTGCAACTGGGAGTCACAATTCTTCATCTCTGGAAAGGATATTGAAGATTTAGGACAACTTCTCGAGAATTTGTTTGGCAGTACAAATCATGAGTGCCACCCATGAATGCGAAACTTAATCATCATGCTCTTAAGTCAAAGATCACCACTGTAAGCTCACTTTTATTTGAGTTTTACTATTGGAGCTAAACTGTCGGAATTGTGAAGTGTAACAATAATGGTCTTATAATTAGCTGCTGACATCATCAAGACATCAAGAGTTAATTAATAAATCATGATTTATTTTTTCTTGATAATACCTTTGAAACAGGCAAATAAGATTGTGAAGTATAGACTTTGGCACAAGATTTAATAAGAAATTAATAGGGGTAGGATAAAAGGCGTAGTGGGTTGTGTGTAAAGAAAAAAATAGGAAAGAGAATAAAAAAGTAAGGAAGAGAATGAGGATAAATGGGTATATTTATTGAAAAAAAATTACCAAAAATGGAAAGAGAGACAAATAATAGAGAATATCCCAAAATAGAAAGAGAGACAAATATTAGAGAACGGAGGGAGTATATACATAGTATTATATATATATATAAATTTATGATCAAATACAAAGTCATTTTAATTTACAAAGTGCAAATTAATCCTAACCATCCATTTCAATGAGATTATATTGAGATTACTGTGTATTAATTTGGAAGTTCCCAAAAACTCTCCATAATTGGCTATGTATGTGTGTATGTGTGTGTGTGTCTGTGTGTGCGCGCGCACGCGTGCATGGATGGATGTATGCATGCATGCATGGATACATACACCCATATATACATGGATACATGCATGTATATATGCGTGTATGTATCCATGCATGCATGCATACATACATCCATCCATCCATGCACGCGCGCGCACACAGACACACATACACACATACATGGCCAATTAGGGAGAGTTTTTGGGAACTTCCAAATTAATACACAGTAATCTCAATATAATCTCATTGAAATGGATGGTTAGGATTAATTTACACTTTGTAAATTATGATGACTTTGTATTTGATCATAAATTTATATATATATATATATATATATATATATATATATATATAGAATAGAGATCAAATACAAAGCCTTCTTAATTTACAAAGTACAAACTCATCTTGACCGTCCGATGAGTTGATCCAAAGGACCTAAAGGCAAGGTGGCATTTTTGTAATAAAACTCAACTTTTTAGGGTGCAACTCGTTGCACCTTAATGTGCAACTGCTATTTTTATGACTTTATAATGTGCAATACTTTGAACCTCAACATGCCATGCAAATAACGTCAAGGTGCATCGTACAAATATTTGCACAATAAGCACACTTTGTACTTGATCTTTCCCCTATATATATATATATATATATATATATATATATATATATATATATATATATATATATATATATATATATATATATATATATATATAATATGTATATACTCCCTCCGTTCTCTAATATTTGTCTCTTTTTCATTTTGGGATATTCTCTATTATTTGTCTCTCTTTCCATTTTTGGTATTTTTTTTTCAATAAATATACCCATTTACTCTCATTCTCTTCCTTACTTTTTTTATTCTCTTTCCTATTTTTTTCTTTACACACAACCCACTACACCTTTTATCCTACTCCTATTAATTTCTTCTTAAATCTTGTGCCAAAGTCTATACTTCACAATCTTATTTGCCTGTTTCAAAGGTATTATCAAGTAAAAATAAATCATGATTTATTAATTAACTCTTGATGTCTTGATGATGTCAGCAGCTAATTATAAGACCATTATTGTTACACTTTACAATTCCGACAATTTAGCTCCAATAGTAAAACTCAAATAAAAGTGAGCTTACAGTGGTGATCTTTGACTTAAGAGCATGATGATTAAGTTTCGCATTCCTGGGTGGCACTCATGATTTGTACTGCCAAACAAATTCTTGAGAAGTTGTCCTAAATCTTCAATATCCTTTCCAGAGATGAAGAATTGTGACTCCCAGTTACACCATCAAGTTTCAAATGTCCGTTGCAAATGACAAAATTTTGTCTTTTATGTAACCCTCCATGGCTACCAACAATGCTTTGAACAGATACCACAACCTCTATCAGATCCCTAAAAAATAGTAAAAAAAAGTTATATGCGATCAATAAACTCCTATAACCATTCCCGATTTTTTTTTTATAAAATACTTAACATTTTATAAAATATCACAATACTCCTATAAACCACAGCTCAACTCGTAACATTTTATAAAATTATAGGTCTAATTAATAGCACAAAATATCACAATACTTTATGAAAAAATTGGTCAGGTGGTGCTCGCAGAAAAGTTCTTCATAACCCTCATACACGAAATAGCTTATCCATTGCTCTTTATGGATAAGAAGTGGCTTGAGGATATTTGGTAATCTACACAATGAGTTCTTAGTAAACAGAAATGAAGCCCTCAAGTTTTGTGAATAGCAAGTCGGGGTCGCTTTGACTGTTACTTGACCAAATTGGTCACTATTGCATTGGAAAGTTGTTACACCTTCATGGAAGAGTAGGACTGTTGGATCCCCAATGATCCTTATCTTGGAATCCAAAGAACTTGGTAGTGAAGAGATAAGAGGAATGTTGTAAGACATTGCTAGAACGGATGACTAGCGAGGTAGAGAAGAAAGATACGCAGTATCTTTTTTTTTTTGGCTGAAGAGAAGAAAGATATTGATGAACTGCAAGGGGTTTAATGCACCAAACCCATGTGATATGAAAATTCGGCGTTTTAGCCCCTGTGATTTAAAAAATGTGTCAAATCCTCCTGTGTTTTAATTAGTTATGTGCAAAATCCCTTTTGTAAACAAATTCAATCGTCAAATAAAAGAAAAATGATTAACATTTTTGTATGATTCAGAGATTTTGACATATTTACTTGTATATTCAATCAAAATATCAGGAAAAGTTATTTTCAAATCGCTAAATTTAGGGGTGGGCATAACGGTTTGGTTTAACCGAACCGTATGCAATTTGGTTTTAGTTTGGTACTATTTCTTTCAAACCGTATTAAACCGAACCAAAACTGAACCGAAGAACACACACACACACACTTTGTATTTATCTTCACTCTTCATTTTAAGATATAAATAAAAAATTTAGACATGAAAATGCATATTTAAGCATATACTCGTATTATTTTAACTTTTACACATTTCAAACATTCATTATGACAAAGTTAGCTAATACGACATATTTGTATTTATTATGGTTGGCGATATCAATAGCAAATTGTATTTATATTTCTATCTCTGTGTGAGTCTTTGGTTTAGTTTGTTTCAATTGGTTTAGCAGGTGAAGGTAGGTTGTTTAAGCTAGGTTCTAGTATTTTATTTAGTTGGAATTTCAATTGGCAGGTTGTTTAAGCAGGTGAAGGCAGGTTCTAGTATTTCATTTAGTTGGAATTTCAGTGAAAACAAAACATTCAAAATTACTCAAAGTGAATTGTAACATATGAAACAAGACATAATCATTTTCAAGTTTATAAACCGAACACCGAACCGAACCGAATTTTTCCCAAACCGAACCGAAACCAAACCGAAATTCTTTTGGTTTGAGTTTGGTACTATTTTCCTCAAACCGAATAAACCGAAACCGAACCGAAACCGATAAAAACCGAACCGTAAACCGATTCGCCCACCCCTAGCTAAATTTATGCCAAAAAAAAGGGTTCTGTGCATGATTAATTAAAACACAAGAGAGTTCACGCATTTTTCAAATCACAGGAGCTAATGCGTCGACGCTAATGCGTTGACTTTCTATATTACGAGAGGGTTCAGTGCATTAAACTCACAATAGAAGTAATAAATATAGTATTTCCTCCGTCCCAAAATGATAGTCCTGTATTTCTTTTCTGAGTCATCCCAAATTGATAGTCTCATTTCCTCTTTTGAATAGAAAGATGTGATCCATATCATTTCACATTTTTCTACTCAAATCTCAACCACAACTTTTACCTTTTCAACCCTTCTTTAATTTTTGAATAAAAAAGAAATGGGACTCTCATTCTCAGAAGGAAATAGTAATAATTACGGAGTACTTTACTAGGGGGAATGATCACGAAAATGAAATGTCATACCAATATTTATGATATTGTAAATGTCAGACCCGTATTTATGATATTGTAAATGTCACCCTTCAATTGTCTAAATTGTTGTAAATGTGGTCCTTTAAGGGGTGAAATGTACTCTCGCAAGCATTGTATATTTCACTCCTAAAAAGACCACATTTATCGGGTACGACGGATCTGTCAAAGCGTCATGGTCTGTCTGTACGTCACTTTGAGGTCTTGTCTTACTTTCTAATTTGATCCTTGATAGATCGGTGAGTTTAATCTGAAAAATCTCATATCATTTATAAATCTGAGTGAATGATTTAGAATAGATTGGGTCTAGTTAAATTTGTTTCTTTAATAATCTATGCATTTTCCTTTGAATTATTTTGTACATGATTAACTTATCTCATTTCTACGCTTTAGTTCAATAAATTTTGGATCCTTTATGGAATCATTCTGTGGTCATCTTGTTTAGAGCAAGTTGTGACGTATTCAGTGTAAAGTATACATTTCCGCTTCAAGATAGATTCATTGCTTTTACTGACTTAACCATCGGAGGGCCGTTGGTCCAAAGCCAACGGCCAACTTTGACGGTTTTTAATGGATGCAAGACTATCTCGAAGCATAAGACCGAGCAATTACTGAGGCAACTAAGATTTCAACCATGCTCATGCCAGTTACATATTATACACTAACATCAAATGAGAAAGGGTTGGGCTGCCCATGAGAAGATCATGGATAATTGTCCCAGCCAGCCCTTACAACATATATTTTTTTGGCCAAAGCCTACAAACATATATGACAACGCACATGCAACCAAAACATATATGACAACGCACGTGCAACCGAAACGTATATGACAACACACGTACATCAAAAAATACAGAACTACACAACGAAAGCACACGCTCCAACATAAGGAGACAATACAAATGACAAACGTAATGCTATTTAAAGTTTTTGCATGATATGGACCAAGTTCACACAACACATCTCGTTGTCTTCAACGACGGATGATGTTTCCTTCACTAGATGAAGTGTCGACATCAATGTGAAAGATGTTGCAAATTTCTGTCACCGAGTCATCAAGACAATTTTGGAGGAGAGAAGATAACATGTCAGCTTTCAGTTTTCCTTGTTTTAGTTGAGGAGACGGATTCGATCGACGGTTATTCCGAAGAAAGACGGAAACGTTTCATCAACCGAAGTCGTCAATATGTCACAACAAGTCATTGATGAGTCGATAGACGCAATGAACCAAGAGGTGAAGTGTTGCTCTTTCAAAATTTCGACAAGTTACCGCTTAATGATCCGTCCATGCGTTGTACGCGCCAACTTCTCGATAGTGGGCAATTGTTAGTGCAATTATTTGGCAACATATTTTGCATTAAAGAGAGTTGATCACAAAAGTTAATGAGGCTTAATGATGGCCGTTGTAACGGATTTGTGTTTATTATTGGATTTAGCAACGATATTAAGGCAAGAGGTTACTTATTTTGAGCTGGCTAGCATTAATGACGAGTTGTGAAACCGTCGGGTCCGAACCGTCAAGTCAAACCGTCAGTAACGGACAACTGGAGCTGGTGGAGCATTCACAGGGCCCAATGAAAATTATTGTAACGTATTTATGTATTATTAGCCTCCTTAATATGATATTAATT